GATATTATTTTACAATACAAAAATAGACAAGAGTTTGGGACACTGAGGCAGAATAGTAAAGAAATGCCAAAGATCTGCCAAAAAAAAAAACTGAAAAAGGGAGAAATGTTACCATTATCAGTGAGAAAAAGCCTCTCCATAAAGATGTCTCCTTATTGTTAACTGTTCAAAGTACAAAAATGATAGAAAATGAGATTGAGGATTTAGCTCAGTGGCACTGTGCCTGCCTTGCAAGTGCAAGGTCCTGAGTTCCATCCTTAGTACAAAAAAAAAAAAGACAATATGAAAGAAGAAACAAAAAAATTCCAATAGTGATCAGTTATTATAATAATTATATGAGTGGTGTTGACAGTCGACCAATATGTAGCAAGCTATTTTGTAATCAAAAAGCAAGGAAAAAATATTATAAAATATTTATGCACCTCTGGACCAACAACTTTATTCAAAACAAGGGGACTCAAAAAGTCATTTACAATTTAGACTAGGTCTAACAGACCAAATAGTTGTAAAATGCAAGAGAGCAAAACACCAACCAGGATGCCCAGCATTGACGTTTTCATCATTATATTTAGTGGGTAGACATTTTATTGAAATCATACCACCCACAGAAAAAAGCTAAGACCAACAAAACAGTGTGAAGTGTGTCGTTCAAAGAAAGACAATAATGCATAAAGAATCTGGAAAGATACAAGATATTATTGTCCAGATTGTTATGTTTCATTATAAATTATAAATGTTTTCAGATATACCATACACAGAAAAATTACTGAATAAACCTGGTTAAATTGTCATTTTAATATTTCCTGTTATATTACCTAGTAAAAATTAACAAAAACTATGCAATTGATCATCTTATATTTAAATAATTGCACTGATAAATGGTTACATTAATAACAGGTTAAAAAATACACACAGCAAAACTCAAATGTTCCTGCAAGCGCAAGGACCCAAGTTCAATCCCCAGTACCAAAAAAACAAAACAAAACAAAACAAAAAACAAACAAACAAAAACCCTCAAATGTTGATTTTTCAAGTCCTCCATTCTCCAATTTTCTCAATGTATTCCCTCCTCCCTTTTTTTTCTTTCCTTATTTATTTAATAACCATTATTAGGCAAATACCATTTTAAACAGTGTAATTTCAAATAACAAAATAAAAAAAGCCCCATCTCTGAAGAATTCACAATTTAGTTGGAAAGATTAGAAATAGGTTTGAAGACCCAGAAACCATCATTTAAGAAGCTCACCAGAAAATAAAAACCTATCTTATTTCACAGATTATGAAAGATAAAAACGTTTACATATTGATTAGAAGGTAAAAAGGAAACACATGAAAGCTCATAAGACACTAAACTTTTTCAAAACAGTTAAAGTAATCCATTTTGCATGGAGTTGACAGTTTCAGTTACATTGTCAGATCCATTTCAAGTGTAGGATCAGAATCACATTTTTTATTCACCCAGTTGTAGATTGAGTAATTTCATTATGTGGATCATTCAGTCAAAAAACCCACATCTAATTAAAACTTAATAAAAATCCTTTCCACATTGTTCATGGAAAAAAATTATTGAAAATTATCATTTAAAAGTACAGAAGATTTAAAGATAGATATATAGATATATACTTTTATGTGGCAAGTCACTTATATTTTATAGTGAAAGCTACTGAAATTGACACTTTTTAAATATGAACTGTGCACAAAGAAAAAGGTGAGATCAGCAAGTATTATAACTTCCTTCGCTTTCCATTTTTAATCAGTCATAAATTATTTTAAGTATGATTTTCTTTTTGGAGGTGGAGTTGCTTTTATTCTCTTTCTACAGAATTATCATTACTCTATTGAGAAAGAAATCAGACCATTCACATTTTTGGATGTTAATTATGTTGCTGAATAAAAGTATTTTCTTAGTTATCACTAAAAATATTTGATAAGAAACTATCAACATTGGGCCATCCAGATTATAAAATACTATCATTACTATAGCACTGAACGACTACGGTCTTCATTTTGTAGAAGAGTTAATTTTGTTCTTGATAGTTGTCACACAACTACCAGGGCGAGAATAAAAATCAATTTCTTAGAGCCAGGGATTTAGCTCAGTGACACCACACCTTCCTTGCAAACTCAAGGTCCTGAGTTTGATCTCCAGTACGCCCCCCAAAAAATCTCAATTTCAAAATTTGAAGGAGACAGATGTTATTTCTCGCTCTGCAACTAACTAGCAGAACAAAATAAAAGGCAAAAAAAAAAAATCCTTAGGGTTCTTTTATCTCAATATTTTCATTCAGGAATAAGAGTCAAGCTACATGTATTCTCTATTCTTTAAGTCTCAAATTGTGGAAATAATAAATTTCAACTATTTCTTCAGCTAAAGAAAAGGTACTATTATGTATGTTCTCATTGATACCATATATGTGAGAGATGCTAGGTAAAGCTTTTAGTAGCCAGTAACTGTTGAAGTTTAATTTGATTTTAAACTTATCTTTAAGATATGATTTATTTCTGTAAATTATCAAAGGACATAAGTAGTATGAACAATAAGTCATTGAAACTGGTTTTTACACTTGAATGCTAAAACAAATTTTATGTTTTATCAATTTTAATTAATGATTCCTAATAAACTAGTACCACTATCATGTGAGCTCCTGGAAGACTAGACTTGTATATTTAGCTTCATAGCTGGCAGCTTTTTGGTTACTGCACTATCGATGTTTATTGAGTGAACAAACATGATATACACAGCAACCTCCTCAAATAAGTTATCAATAAATTAATCTGAATCTCATAGCTATGATATCAGTATGACTGATTAGATAAAGATTAAAATATTTCTAACATTTGGCGTACAACAAAACCAAACTATTCATGGCTAAGTGGGCAAATATTTTTGAAATATTCTGGACTTTCAATTCTCCTCAGGTATAACTCAGATATAAAAAGCATAAATTAAGAATTTGTTAATAGATTAATGTACATTTGTCAGACTCATTACAATATCTAAAATAGATTATACATCTTATTCAGTGCTAGTTTCAAAAATGTAACATAATATAATACTAAAACCCTCTTCACTACAAACACCTAGAAATACATAAAAATATAACAAACATCTAAAGTATATAGTTAAATTCAAAAGAACATTATCATTTCTACAAATGAAAAACTGACAACCAATGCAATATACTGGTACTGCAGGTAGAAAAATGGAACGCATTTGTTTGGGCTGCTTTGCATGCACTCATGCAGGAACATGGACTTAGAGTAGAAAAGCCTCCTATCGATGAAAAGATGAATGGGGGGGTTTCCCCAATTAAAAGTCAAGGAAGCATATTTAGCCTGATCTCTAGTAGGAGGAAAAACAAGCCCCTATTGGCCCAAAGGCCAACCCTAGCATCACTTAGGTCTTATCTCAATTTGAATATATACTATCCTAGTGGACCAGAAATTCTCAAACTAAGAATTAAACTCAAAAATGAACTTAAGGCTTTGGGTATTCTTGGAGCATATACCAACAACAATTATAAAATCACTCTGCAGATCATGCCTTTAATCCAGCAATTCTTTTTTTTTTTTTCAGCAATTCTTCAAATAAAGCCATGTTAAGATTAATGAGCAACCATCCAAACTCTTAACAAACATCAAAATTAAATCACCAGGCACACATCAGATTAAATCATCAGGCACTGCATAATCTGATGATATAAGAAGTACCATAAGAAAGCAGCAAACATCATGAAAATATTAGAATATAGTTAACCTCCTTTCCAACCATTGATGGACAGTCTCCAAATATTATACATTTTGATGTATTCTATTTTCCCCCCTATCAGATGAAAAGTATTCTGACAGAAGGAACTATCTTGAAACCTTTCATCACCCAGCAGTGGTTAACGTGATATGTGAAATATATATCCATTTTTATATAATATATGGCAGAAGAAAACTATCTGCGAAAAACTCAATGTTTGGCATGCTACATCTAACAAATTTGACAGCATTCTGAAAATCACAACCATGTCTCTAAATCTTGCTAATGTAGATACATTAAGATTATTTAAAACTATTTTAACACTACTCATTTTTCTTCTATGTATCACATCCACTCCAAGAAGGAGTACAAAGACCAAAAACACTAGTTGTGATCTTTAAGTCATATGCCTTCTCATAATAATTAATAGAGAAATGCTGCTGGAAAACACAGAAGCTACTTAAACTTTAAATGTGGACTGTTCCAGGAGGGGAGAGATTATCTTGTACCTACTACCATGAAGCACATTAATTAGAACAAATAGAATACAAATTCAACTGTACTCATTTAATGGGGGCAGTGGCACATGTCTTTAATCTCAGCACTTCTGAGGTTGAGGCAACAGGATGGCAGGTTTAAAACCTGCCTGGGCAACATTGCCAAGCCTGTCTCAAAAAAGGAAGTGACTATATTAGCTAGGTTGGAAAGTCCTGGCTTCAATCCCAGTATGCCTACCCCCCACCACACACACACAGAGTACAGAGGGGGAGGGAGGAGAATGAGAGAGGGAAAGAGAAAGATACTAAATATTTCAGAGTTAAGAACATATTAATTTTACCATAGAGTATAAACTTCTTTTACTGCTGTGTATGCTAAATGTTAAATAACTACGCCCCCTACTTTTTCACCTTCTCTCTCTAGAGCATACATATATCTAACACATAGGTGAAATTTCTGTTTTACAAACAACTCTAGCTCTTTAGTTAAAAAAAAAAATCAGAACAACACAATTCATTTTACCAGTTAATACAGTAACACCCTTCCAGTAGAACCTTAGCCAGAAGTATCTGTAATTTTCTCTAAAGCAGCTAGAAAGAAAAGAATATACCCTATTGTGAAAAATTATACTTCAGCTATCTGTTAAGTACAATTTTGTATCCTCCAAATTAGTAATACTGAATCAGTAACTACTACTTCTCAACAGTATCTCAATGTCTCATTAAAAAAAAAAAAAGTTTAACAAATTCCTTACTTTAGATCCTGTAGAAGGTCTTTTGCATTAAGCATGGTTATTAAAGAGGTGGTAGCTGCAGGAATTATGATAATAGGTGTGCGTGATCCTGTAAATACAAAGTTTTGAAGATAGAAAATATTATTAAAAGCAATTATACTTTATTGAAAATTAAGGGTTCATAAATTTATAACTTTAATTCTTTTGAGCTTAAAAACTAAGCCAATAACAACAGAAAAAATATTTAATAATCAATATTGCTTAAGCACTGACTAATCAGAATGGACACCAAGCACCTGCATTTGATACACAAGCATGCCAGCCCTGGTTTTGCTAGTTTTTTCAACATTTATTTTTCAAGGTAAGCTTCAAATTATTGCCCAAGCTCACCTTTCTTCTGATTTGGGGGAGGTCTTGCTTGAGAAACTGTAAGGAGAAAAAAAAGAATCACAAGTGTCATAAAAACTATATTCCTATTTTCAAAATTACACAGATGCCCAAAAACCATTTATATTCATGTGTGGTTATTTGTAAAATAAAAAAACATCTCAAATTTATTTCTCTGCTTCATAAAAATATTAAAATGTTTAACATTACTTAGCCACCTGCAGTCACAACAAAAGTGGGTATATACCACATTGCCATGTACTATCTATGATCATAGATGTTTAGGTCTGGCAAAGAGAGTAATTTCATAATAAACTGATTATTTCTACCACAAATATAAAAACAGTACTATAAAAGTACATAACACTATTGGCAGAGGCAGGAGGGCACAATGAGCTATTCTGAAAGAAAAGAGTTACTGGGAGTTAAGATTTAAAATAGTTCTTAAAACTTTTCTTTTTACATACTTTTTAATTAGGAGAGGAAGAATATTAAAAGCAATGAGGCAACTATTTCTGAAGGTCTATATTATCTGGAAATGACCTATTAGTAATTTTGGTTGTGTTGAATTTTCATCTTTTTACTGTTTAAATATGTAACAGGCGTTATAATGCATTGAAATATCTATTGACATACTGGCAGTAATAATGATGAATATTTAAGAATAAAATGCTATCATGTTCAATTTTGAATATTTATCCACATACTAAAATTTTACGAAAATTTTCTATGTGCCACATGCTAATATTTAGCTTACCGAAATCACAAAAATAAACAAAAATTTCTAAGATTTAAAATTCTAATTCATCCTGCATGATGCTGTAATGGAAATAAAACATAATACTACAGGGCCAAGGATTTAGCTCAATGGCACTGCGCCTGCCTCATAAGGTTCTGAATTTAATCCTCACTACCAAAAAAAAAAAAGAGAGAGAGAAACTGTAACTGTAGGTACTTGTCAAGATCATGGAATTTTTCAACACAAACATTAAACACTTATATATGTAAATTTCTAAAAAAAAATCATGTAGGTGGTTAGAAAGATCTTATCATAGACTGCAAAATGTGACAAGAGAATCTAAATGTACTGCAGTTGTATAAAACAAGCTCAATGAAAAAGAGGGAATAAGGTGCTAATTTAAGTAAAATTGGAAAAGAATGGAATCTGTGAGGCAAATGATAAAAGGAACAGTACCTAAGCACTGCAATCTAGCTGACACAGTTGTTTTGTTACACATGGCAATGTTTTAACAATTCAGAAACCACTGTATATGTACGGTGTGTGTGTGTGTGTGTGTGTGTGTGTGTGTGTGTGTGTGTGTGTGTGTGTGTGTGTGTGTGTGTGTGTGTGTGTGTGTGTGTGTATACACACACACACATATATATATACACAGACACACCAAGTATGTATATTAAATTAAATACATGATTGGTGGATGTAAGGAAAGAATTCTAATTCAACTGTCTATTCTTGGAAACAGATACCACCTTTAAAGGGAAACAGAAAACACAACATTATTGAAATATGTTCCATTTTAAAAGTAGCACACTAGGGCCGGGGATTTAGCTCAGTGGTTCCGCTGCCTGCCTCCCAAGCATAAGGAACTGAGTTCAATCCCTGGTACGGCGGGGCGGGGGGCGGGAACAAACCCACAAAAAAACACAAACCATTAAAAGTAGCACACTGCTTCCCGCTATTCTACATAGCTATTTCACTGTAATGTAAGACTATAAAGTTCAGCAGTATGATCTTCCCAGCCACAAAATACAAGCTTACATATAAATACGTGCATATATATATATATACATACATACATACACATACATACATGCATACATACATACATATATATATAAACCACTTTCTTAAAATCATTTTTATAAACAAGACACAAGTCTGATTAGATAGTGTCATCTATACTACAGTTTGGGTAAATATTTAGCAATTGTTGAAGGACTGATGAATAGAAAATATGAATAAACAGGAAACAGAAGTTGCTATGTGTGTGACTAAAGGGAATGAGAAGAGATAAGGATGGAAAAAAGTACAGAAGGAAGGATTACAATGCCATTTCAGTCAGAGAGGTCTTTCTTCTTTCTTCCTCTCCCTCCTTCCCCCTTTCCCTTCCTTTTTGTTAAGGGAAGTGGCAAATAGATTCAAGAATTTAGAAAAATATTTATGAAAATAAAGGCTTAGAAGATTGAGTGTAAGACAAATGCAAAATATAAAAGCTCATACATATTAAAAGTCTAAGGATTAGTAAAAACTACAAAAGAACAGTAAGATCTCTACTTTGCAATGACCAACATAGGCTAATAAGTTGGTTAAAGAGGAAAGAGGTGAGGGGTGGAAGAACAATAATGTTAAATCTGTGAGGTAGAGTGATCAATAGGAAGGGTCTTACTCAGCTGATTTAAAATCACATCCCCACCATTTGCCACTGCTTAGGCCAGTGATGACCAACCTATGTAGAGCTTTCAATGATACGAACAGCCCACTGCAAGGACGTGTGCCATAGGCTTGCCACCAATGGCCTAGGCAAATTATTCTGGTATTGATTACCTTTGCTAAGCCTCAGTTTCCTCAACTATTAAACAGAGGTAGCAGTTTCTTCATCCTGATTCTGTTGTGCAAACTTTAAAAATAACGCATCCTCGGTTCTTAGGTAGTTTCTAGTAGATGTGTGCTGAACCCTAGAGCTACAACTGATACTAACTGCTGCTGCTTTTCCTTTACAACTTTAGCAAATGCAATCACTGTAAATCTGTGAGCCAAGTAAAAATCCTAAGAAAAAAAATCACGTGTTTTTGTTTTATTTTAAATAGTTATATTAAAAATTCCTTTAAGAATATCTATTCAGCTCTCCCGCCTGGAGCCGCCATTGCTCCAGCACCAGGAAGGTAGCCACCTGGGTGCCCCTGAACCCCCATAACTCACCTTACTCCCCGACCCCACACACTCTCAGACCTCCTGATTGTGCCAGTCTTTGGACCCACTCTGCAGAGGCAGAGTTGGTCATAAAGGGTATTTTTCTGAGTTCCCAACTTTGAATATCTTTAAAGAAAGGGCGTGAGAAACCTGTAGTAGAACGGTGTGGAGTTCAACCACTCAGAAGGTAGGGGGACTCAATCTGGGCCTTGCAGCCCGAGGTCAGTCAGCGTTACGGGGTTCAGCCATCAGCTAAGTGAGATCAGGTGTCTTGCATCCTAGCTGTCTGAGCCATTAAATGGTAAATACACTACATTGAAAAGTTTCTTCATTGCAGACATGTTCTGGATTGCTTCTTGATTTCAATTTAATTCAAATGGTTTAAGTGTGATAGACTAGTGACTACCACAGGTGGTCAGTTTCCAAGTTGTGCTTGATCTTAATGTGTTGCTGATTGTATCAGTTGGGATAAAGGATTGTGGTTGATTTGATGAGGTCTTTTCTCTGATGTTATGAAGATGAGAATGTCTGTGGGTAGTTAGAGACCCAGAAGCTAGGGTGCAACCAAGCACAGCCCGACAACAAAAATAAAAATGAGAAAACACTTAAGCAAGACACAAAGACAGACTTCCAGTTCACCAATGGCAAACAGTAGGGCAAATGAAGATGAAAAGGCCAATAGTGAACCACCAGGACACCCTGAACTCAAAGCACAGGATGTAACAAAACAGATCAATCAGGCTCTAGAAAAATTCAAAACAGAAATAATTTCCCAGATATCCATAGAGATAGTGAGCAAAATGGAAGTCGTGATTCAAGACTCTAGAGCAGAAACTGACAAAAAAATAGATGAGCTCAGGACCATGATAGAAGCCATGAAGGCCCAGCATAAGAAAGAAATGGAAAAAATAAACGCCCAACATAGGAAAGAAATGGAATCCATAAAACAGATTCAAACAGATATCCAGGAGATGAAACACTCCATAGAAAGTGTACGCAACAGAATAAAAGAATGCAAAGACAGACTCTCAGATATAGGACATAAGATGGCAGTCAGTGACCATGAAAAGAGAGGTCTCTTAAAAACAGTAAAGGAGCATGAGAAATCGATCCAACAACTCCTAGATGATGCAAAGAAGAATAACATAAGACTGACAGGAATACATGAAGTAGCAGGAGAAAATACAAATGACTTAAAAAAGCTGTTCTCAGAATTAATGACAGAAAACCTCCCAAACAGAGGGGAAGAATTTGACATTCAGATAACTGAGGCATATAGGACCCCAACTAGCTACAATAAAAAAAAATCTACACCTAGACATATAATAATCAAGATCCCAGAAACCCAACAGAAGAACAAAATACTACAAGCAGTAAGAGAAAAGAAACAAATCACATACAAAGGAAAGCCCATCAGAATCACAGCAGACTTAACACAAACCCTTAGGGCAAGGAGAGCCTGGAATGAGATATTTCAAGTACTAAAAGCGAACAACCTCCAACCTAGACTGATGTATCCTGCAAAACTCTCTTTCAAAATGGATGGGGAAATAAGACACTTCCACGACAAAGAACACCTGAGAAACTACATGAATACTAAACCAGCAGTACAAGCAATTCTAAACAAGATCCTAGCAAAAGACAATGAAGGCAACAACACCATGAGGCCCAACAGAGCAAATCAAATAGGCAAGGCAAGAAACTAAAAGGAGAAAGTGAAAAAGTAAAAAAGAGTCAACAAAAGGCCAGTAACATGTCAATAATATGTCAGTACATATCAGTTATAACCATCAATTTCAATGGCCTCAGCTCACCAATCAAGAGAAATAGACTGGCAGAATGGAATAAGAAGCAAAATCCAACAATATGTTGTATACAAGAAACACACCTAGTGCAAAAAGAAGCCCAGAGACTGAAAGTGAAAGGATAGAAAACAATTCTCCATGTGACAGGAGCCCAGAAAAAAGCAGGGGTAGCAATCTTATTTGCAGACAAAGCAAATTTCAAACCAAAACTGATTCTAGTATTATTGACGTACGACGGTACTGCATCATACCTCTGTGAATGTACAACATCTTGTACCTGCTTTATGATACATAGTAGGGACTGT